AGATTATGAGAAGTTTCAACAGAATTGCAAGGCCACAAATCTAATGTATTGTGCCTTAGGACCGGAAGAATACCACAAAGTAGCTGGGTGTAAGACCGCCAAGGAAATATGGGATAAGCTTCAGGTGACATATGAAGGTACGTCACAAGTCAAAACTTCGCGGATAAACTCCTTAAAGCATCAATTCGAACTATTCAAGATGGAGGAAGGTGAGTCGATTAGACAAATGTATGAGAGGTTTACCAATATCGTGAATAGCCTACAGAATCTGGGAAAAACCTATGAGAGTGGTGATCTGATCAGAAAGATTTTGTGGAGTTTACCTGAGAAATGGATACCGAAAGTAACAACAATCGAGGAAGCTAAGGATTTGGAGAATCTTGCGGTAGATGAGCTTATAGGGTCATTGGCCACTCACGAAGAGAAGCTAAACAAGTCTGGCCAAGAGAAGGACACTGCCGACAAGGGAAAGCGAGGGATTGCGTTCAAAGTTACCAGCCAGATGGATGAGTCTGAAGAACTTGATGACATGGAAGATGAAGAACTTGCTCTCTTAAGTAAACAAATCAGTAGACTTATCAGAATAAGAAAAGAGAAGAAGTCTGGAGGACCTAAATTCAGAGAGGTGGAAAGAAATGATGGAGGCTCGAAATTAGGTCAAGCAAGAACCTCAAGTCGAGGCAGAACTGAAGGGATGCAGAGTTACAAAGGAGTAAATTCGACTGGTTGCTTTAAGTGTGGGAGATCAGGACACATTAAAGCAGACTGTCCCCAACTGAAGAAAGAAAAGGCATATGCTGCTACCTGGAGTGGGAGCGAAGATGAAGGAGAAGAAGAAGAGGAAGTAACAGTACACAGGTCATTCATGGCAATTGCAGAAGACAAGACAGAAGAGGATGAGGACTCACAGTGCTGTCATACACAGGTAAGTATCTCTGAACCTCAATTTGAGTATGAAAGTGATGATGACATGCTAGTGGAAACGATCAGAGAAATCCAAGTAGAATTAGGAAACGTGAAAACCAAGTATTCTATCTTAAAGAAAGAAAACGAGATAAATATACTTAAAATAGCAGAACTTGAAAGGCAGCTAGCTGAAAGTGAACTGAGAGAAAAGAGTTTAACAGACAGCTTGATGAGTAAGATAAAAGAAAGTGAAAACTGCCATTTGAAATGTAAGGGACTTGAAAATCAAATTCAAAGGTATCAAAAACAAGAAAAGATGAATGACAGGAATAAACATCTCAAGTCCATTGAATGCTATTATTGTCACAGACTTGGTCATGGGATAAGAGACTGTAAAAGAAGGTTAAGATCCGAAATTTTAAAAAATAAGACCAATCTGGTTGATCATACTTCAAATGTTCCTGATTGGTATAAATATCATTCAAAACCACCCAAGCAAGTCTGGGTGAGAAAAACAGCTTGATCTGTATGTGTGTGCAGAGATGTCTTCAAGTGAGCATGGAGACCTCTAAGTGGATTATGGATAGTGGGTGCTCACACCACATGACAGGTAACAAATTTTTGTTTTCAAATCTAGAACTAGGCAGCTTTGGAAAAGTGTTTTTTGGTGATAATAACACTGCTGAAATCATTGGGAAAGGTCAAGTGGGAACTTGTCCTTCTATAAAAAATGTAATGCTGGTCAGGGGTCTTAAACACAACCTAATGTCATGAGTCAGATGTGTGGGAAGGAAAACAGAGTGATATTTGAACCTAACTGCTGCTATGTCGAAAATATTAAGTCAAAACAAATCTTGTTCACTGGGAAAAAAAATGGTAAAATATATACAATTGATCTTGATGATAAAGAAAGTTTTAATGAAACCTGTTTGGTCTCCCTAAGCAGAAATCCTCAAGAAGACTGGCATAGACGATTAGGACATGTAAATGTTAGCACTATATCTAAACTAGCTCGTTTGGGTTTGGTTAAGGGTCTTCCTAAGATAAATGAAAAACCTGAGTTCTTCTGTGATGCTTGCATCAAAGGAAAACAAACCAGAACTAGTTTTAAAACCAAAACAGTTATCTCCACTTCAAGACCTCTAGAGTTGCTTCACCTTGATCTGTTTGGACCCACAAATGTAATTAGTTATGGAGGTAAATCATATGCCTTTGTGATTGTGGATGACTATTCAAGATTTACCTGGGTTTTGTTCTTGTCCAAAAAGGATGAAGCTTTGTCACTTTTCAAGACCTTGCTCAAACGAATTGAAAATGAAACAACATCTAAGGTCTACAGTATAAGAAGTGATCATGGAGGGGAATTCTCCTCTGACTTGTTTGAAAGTTTCTGTAGTGAATTAGGAATCTTTCACAACTTCTCTGCCCCTCGAACCCCTCAACAAAACGGGGTTGTGGAAAGAAAAAATAGGACCTTGATAGATATTGCACACACTATGCTTCATGATTATGGGATTCCAAAATACTTCTGGGCAGAAGCAATTAATATAGCATGTTATGTGGTCAATAGAGTCCTAATCAGAGCAGGTTTAAACAAAACCCCATATGAAATCTGGAAAGGTAGAAAACCCAATCTAGGATATTTTCGCACCTTTGGATGTAAGTGTTTTGCTTTAAACACTAAAGACAATCTTGGGAAGTTTGATGCTAAATCTGACGAAGCTGTATTTTTAGGATACTCAACCTCTAGCAAAGCCTATAGGATCTTTAATAAATGGACCCTCAAAGTTGAGGAGTCCATTAATGTGGTATTTGATGAAGCTATCTTTGAGAATCCATATGTTATGGATGATGATGATTTCGGGCTTGGAAGGACTTCATTGATCATAAACGACAGCCAGTCTGAATCTCAAGCTCAGGAGAATAACTTGGCTGATCAAAATCATACGGAAACAAATAAAGAAAATAGCTCATCTATGACAAATGATGAAGCAGAAGCAAGCACTATTGCTGCTGAAGGACATCCTCCTGCTTACATCACCAAACGTCATCCTCCTACCCAAATAATTGGGTCCTTAGACAAAGGTATGCTCACTAGATCCAAAACCTCTCCATCTCATACTGCATTTGTCTCTATGATTGAACCTAAGTCTGTCAAAGAGGCATTATCTGATGAGTTTTGGACTGCTGCAATGTTTGAAGAAATGCACCAATTTGAAAGGGCAAACGTGTGGGAACTTGTCCCAAAACCAGAAAACAGAATTATCATAGGAACTAAATGGATTTATAAAAATAAAACTGATGAAATCGGAGTAATAACTAGGAATAGGGCGAGACTAGTAGCTCAAGGTTACAATCAGGAGGAGGGTATTGATTTCGACGAAACCTTTGCTCCTGTAGCTCGTCTTGAGGCAGTTAGAATGTTGTGTGCTTTTGCTAGTGCTTCTAGGATTAAACTCTATCAAATGGACGTTAAGAGTGCATTCTTAAATGGAGATTTAAAAGAGGAAGTGTATGTTGCACAACCTCCTGGTTTTGAAGATCAAAAATACCCTAATCATGTGTACAAACTAAAGAAAGCTCTTTATGGGTTAAAACAAGCTCCTAGAGCTTGGTATGACAAACTTAGCTCAATTCTTTTGGAAAATGGTTTTATAAGAGGGTCAGTTGATAAAACACTTTTTACTAAACAAAAATCAGGGCAGTTATTGCTGGTTCAAGTATACGTCGATGACATAATCTTTGGAGGAACCAGTCAAAAAATGTGCTTAGAATTTGAAGATCTCATGAAGACAAACTTTGAAATGAGTCTAATGGGGGAACTTAACTACTTTCTGGGGTTGCAGATAAAACAAACATCTAAAGGAATTTTTATTTGTCAATCCAAATACATTCAGAACATGATTAAACGATTTGACTTAGGTAATCTGAAAACTGCCATCACCCCTATGGCATCCTCTCTTAAGATTGGCAAAGATGAATCTGGCAAGGCAGTAAATGAGAAAATGTATAGAGGACTAATTGGTTCTCTCTTGTATGTGACTGCGAGTCGGCCTGACATCTTATTCAGTGTGTGTGTGCTCGGTTTCAAAGTGCACCAAAAGAGAGTCATTTGTCTGCTGTTAAGAGAATTTTCAGATATCTGGCTGGCACAATTGAGTTTGGTCTGTGGTACTCTTGTGAATCAAGCTTAGAATTGGTAGGATACTCGGATTCAGATTATGCTGGTTGCATAGTGGATCGCAAAAGTACATCTGGAACCTGCCACTTCATGGGAACCTCTCTTGTGGCATGGTTTAGTAAAAAGCAGAATTCTGTTGCTTTGTCGACTGCGGAGGCAGAATACATTGCAGCAGGGTGCTGCTGCACTCAGTTACTGTGGATGAAATTTCAACTTCTTGACTATGGTCTTGAAGTTGGTTCTCTACCAGTACTATGTGACAATACAAGCGCAATCAACATGTCTAAGAATCCTGTACAACATTCTAAAACAAAACATATCGAGATTAGGTTTCATTTTATTAGGGATCTTGTGCAGGACAATACAATTCATTTAGAATTTGTCCCTTCGAACTACCAATGGGCTGACATCTTCACTAAGCCTCTGGGCTCAGATCCGTTCATCCGGATCCGACGAGAATTAGGGTTATTCAATTGGAAAGACTTAGAGGAATTGTCTACTCAATCTTGATTCCCTTCCTATTGCAAACCTCTTACTTCAAATAAGTATTCTTTCTTTTTCTATAATCAATCTTCTTGATTTGTCAAATCTCTGAACTTTAGGACCAAGACTCTGGTTACCTTTTTTAGGATTTCCTTGTGTTTAGTAATTCCCATCCTTCCTATATATATAAGGCCTAGGGTCGGAGGTTTTCTATCATCTCCATCATAGCTTGTTCCTATACCTAAATCTCAGAAGATCAATGGCCTCTCCCAATCAGCATGTGACTTCTTTGAAGTTAGCTCAAGCAGCCATTTTTAATGGTAAAGGCTTTGAGGATGCAGCTGGTTATGCCCGATATCTTCACCAGTTTCAAGATCGACCTCTCCATCCTTCTATTACTCTTGATCCGTCAAAATTCAACAGGTACGGGATGGATATCCCTCGCCTGATCAATACCATTGGCTGGGGTGACATCCTACCTAATCGAAACTTCGGGTTTCGACCTGAGGCTGTTCGTATGTTCTATACTAATATGAAGCCCTGTCTTCACATCTCTCCACCATGTTTCACTACTATAGTGTACAACTATCTTATCACACTCAATGTGGAGTTGGTGTCCTTGCTTCTTGGGATTCCTGTCTGTGGTGCTGAAGTCATGAATGAACTTGACTTTCATTCAGTTGAGTTCAATGAAGGAGATGCCTTGCGGCTGTACACTAGGGATACTGGCCGGTACTATCCTTCTGAATTTCATGCTGGGAGACTTCCTGATGATCTCAAGGTTCTGCATTTTTACATCACTAGGTTGTTCCTTCCTCGTTCGTTTGGCCTCAATACTATTTATCCATCTGATTTATGGATTCTAGCCAGTGCCAAGGAGAATCGAGTTATAAGCTATCCCCATTTGATGTTCGACCATATGTTGAACTATCATGCTGATAACTTTGAAGCCGAGCTTCCTTTTGCTCCACAGATCACTCAGATTCTGTTGGCATTAGGAATTGACTTAATGTTCAAAGTAGCTCGTGTGGACATGCTTAGCTCTCTTCGTGCTCAGTTCATTCTGCGCAAGGTAGATGCCTCGGTTGGTCGTAGATGCCCTCTAGTCAATGCTCCAGGGGGAGACTCAGCTGCCCATGGGTTGCCTGAGGATGGTCTCAGTCTTGCTGACCTAGATGGGGATGAAGCAGTGAGAGAACCGGAGATACGTGTCAGAGATAATGGCAAGCGACCTATGGAGGATCCGTTAGAGGCTGTTCAAGCCATGTTCAGGCAAGAAGAGGCAAGCAGCAGCAGGACTATGATGATGGAGGAAGAAGATGCAATTTCTGACTATGTTCCATCACCAAAGTTTGAGTTTTAAGGGAGTACTGATCGTAGGGGGAGTTTGAGTTTTAAGGGAGTACTGATCGTAGGGGGAGCTTACTTATTAGCACTTTGAGGGAATAAATGTCTTAGGGGGAGCATCTGTGATGCTTATTTAGGGAATGGTGATCCTAGGTGGATTTGGTAGAAGTAAGTGTCAAGTGTCTGAGTCAATAAAGCTCAGTATGAGCTTGAGTCCTTGTGATTGTCTGGAGACTCTGTCTCGAATGTCTTGAGTTCTTGAGTTAAATTAAGAAATCTGAATTAAGTTCTGTGTGTTCAAATCTCATAAAATTTATTGATTCATCGATTTAGAACAGTCTGCACGTAACTGTGTGTTGAATGTGTGCAGAAGTGGCATAGGCAGCTGTTGGGGATCATTGACTGACTTAGGGGGAGAATGTTGGAGGAAAGTCAGTCATGAATCAGAAGAACAAGGAAAGAAATCGGGGATAAAATGGGTCAGCTTTAAAATGAATCACAGTTCGAGGAAAGAAGATATTCTGGGAGCAGAACAATTCATTGGGAGAGCATTTACAGGAAAGAATTCAAAGAAGAATCTTGCCATTCCTGAAGCTGCAATGGCTAGTCCCCGATGAGTATAAGAAGAACGTCTCTGAATCAAGTGAATCACTTTTCGGGAGATCAATTCCGCAAGAAGAGCTAAAGAGAGTTGCTAGAGAGGTTGATTCGAAAAGAGAGACTAATTCAATTTCTGGAGAGACTTTGAATTGGGGAGTGTTTGGGATAAACACTGTAGCTGGATAGCTGAGTGATTTCAAGATACGAGAGAACTGGTTGATTTCCAGGATTGGATCGACTGAGTTCATTGGTGTAAACGTGTAAAACATATCAAGATCAGTGAGCTTAGTGGAACGTCGGAAATCACAGGATTGTGACTTTCCGGCCGTGGATTAGTCAGAGTTGGGATTATTTTTCCCAGCTCTGGATACCACGTAAAAAATTGACTGTGTCTTCTCTTGTTTATTGAGCTTAAGTGTTTTCTCTGTTTTATGCAAGGTTTCAGAGTTTGATCAGAACAGGGGAAGTGAGTCTCTGAAACTGAACAGGGAAGTTGAGAAGAGAAGGGTGAAACGCAGTGAATTGGGTGTTGACTGAAACGGGGAGTAGAGACAAGAAGGTCAGAACGCAGCGGATTAAGTGAAGTCACAACGAGGCTTCTGCGTTTTAAAGATCCGGGCTTGAAATCGTGTTCTCGTGGGCTCTGCAGGTCAAGCCCAATAATAAATCAAAACAACATCTTAGAACCCATAGCTTTCATTTTCTGTTTTAATCGTGAGTCAGTTTTTTTGTTTCCGATTTCCTTTGTTCTTCACTGATCTTCGACCAAAAGGGAGAGTTAGGGTTTCAGGTGGAAGAGGCGAAAAGGGAAGCTTCATTAGCCTGGCATCTCGCGCTCGACGCCATTAACAGGTCTTGCACTCCTCGATGTTGCATCTCCATCTTGGCCCATGGTTGCAGCCCATCAAGAAAGCCGTGCATGGCCTCCTTGTCCGTGATGTCCGGGATCTCTAGAAGTAGCTCCGAGAATTCTTTCACATATTCTCGAACTCCACCCCTCTGGGTGAGTCTTCTCAACTTCGAACGGGCTTCAAACTCCACGTTCTTCGGGTAGAACTGCTTCTTGATTTCTCTCTTCAAATCTTCCCACGTTACCATCACACACGTACCTCTTTCGACGTCCGCTTCACGTCGCCTCCACCACACCATTGCAACATCAACCAAGTATAGTGGAGTGGTACGAAGTTTTACCTCATCCTCTTGGATGCCGGATGCCTTGAAGCACTGCTCAAGACTCCAAAGGAAGTTCTCTAACTCCCTCGTGTTCCTTGAACCTCCGAAGTTCTTCGGTCTTGGAACATCAGCACGTGGGACGGATTGCACCAAGGCTGGTCCGCTAGCCATGGCTCTCTTCACGAGAGTGACCTCACTCTTGAGGTCTGCAATCTCCTCCTTCACGCCGACCAGCTCAGCCTGGACATGCTCTTTCACAACTTCAATGGCGTTGTTCATGGATTCGGAGATGGTGTTGGTGATGAGAGCCACGAGCTCTTCTCGCATCCCATCATGGTTGATCTCCAAGCTTGTCAACCTACCAGCCATTCCGTGAACACTTTGGACTTGGGCGAAGTTAGCTCCCAAATCCTCGATGGCGGAGACATCTTCGGAAAGCTTCACTTCCATCCTCGAGACTCGTCTCTCTAGAGACTTGAGAGGATCACGAGTGCTCGACGTACCTTTTGTTCTCGCGCCCGGGGTGGGCTCTCTTCCATGTTGCTTCTCAACGTTGTCATTGACTTCTGATCCCGACATTTTTGGTGAGGCTCTTCTTTTTCGTCTGGCTATTGCTTCTACTTTGCTAGCACAAAGCCGAACGGGGCTCTGATACCACTTGTCACGACCTTACTCTTGATCGTGTGGCCCTAGCTCTCAATTCCATTAGAGCGCTAGGCAGCCTTCCCTCAACTCACTCGCAAGCAAAGAACAAGGAAGCAAAGACAAAGGAATTGGGAGATGGCTCCTTATATAGGCCTCTCCTCATACAAGGGATCAATGCCCCTCATAATGTCCCTCTACATCAATACACCCTATTAAGTACCCCCATTATGCACTCTATAAATGTCACCCATTATATGACTCATAAGTGCACCATTAAGCTCTCATTTAGGTGGAGAATCCTAGGAGCATCTCTATGCTACTAGTCTTCCATACATGCCACATGTGCAGCTGCCATGTTGTCACCTTGTTGGCGCCATGTCATCTGCCACATGTGACAGTACCCGTGGGTTCGGGTTTTGTTGCCATCCCTACTCTCTCCATAGAAAGATGGACTTCGGTGCAACCATCCCTTTCTTTGCCAGATCCTTTGTTGTTCTGACTAGATCCATCGAATTCTCTGTGAAATCAATCGGATTGAGCGATTCTTCTAAACTTATGCTCAGGATCAATCCGAGTGCAACAGCTCCTTAGAGATTAATCGTAGTCGCTGCCGGTTTGTCCCAAATCCAAATCTGTTGCATGACGCCAAGCACCGTTCCAATCGCTAAATCTGTTGTAGGCTTCGTCGCACCACAATTACAAACACCATATTTAGCCTCCACAATCTCTGTTTAAAGTCATGCTTTATCCCGGTCACCCCTAGCTTCTTTTGCTCTCCCCCATTCGGTTTGATTTACTCATTATGCATTTCATGTATCAGTTTCGACTATACTCTGTTTCTCTACATATAGGTTCCCCTGATTTATCAATCAAACGATTTACACTAAAATCCCCCAACTAGAAGGTCTCGATTGAAGGTACAAACCTCACCCCTTCTACTCCTTAGAGAAGCCATCGCCAATCCCTCTCTCCCCCATGGATTTCGAATTCCCGGTCCCCTTCTTTCTCGACCTAGCTCCTTCTCGATTTAGGTAAGGGCCAAGGGGTGTAGTTTTTGTATTTCAACCAACGCAGAACTGGTCACCGCCAAAGAATCGCGATCTGGGTTTCATGGGGTTCTGGCTTTTTGGACTTTCGGAGCTCCGGCGCCGCACCAATCTCTAGTGAAGGCATGCATGTCGAGTCGCTAAGAGAAGCGGCAAAAAGTGGAAAAATCCGACCTAGTTGAAGACCAGAGGAGAAGCAGAGGTTCGCCGCTAGCGATGAAGATGTAGTTGCTTGAATCAATGACGACGACTGGTGAAAAAAATCGGTCCGCAACTTACTAGAGGAGAAGCGAAGGGTTCGCCGGCAACGGGGGAACAACAAGCTTTTGGATTTCGTTTTTTTTAATAGTTGTGAAAAATAGGTGTAAATTAAAAAGATTAATTTTTTTTTTCAATAGCCACATCACTCATTTAATGGTCATGTATGAAGGTTGACTACCACATTCGCAAAAGTTAACGGAGACTAATGGACAGTGACAAAACTAGAACTATTAAACTAATTTTAGTGACCACGAATGGAATTAAATATTTGTAGTGACCAAATGTTTTTAGTAAACTCAGTGACCAAATTTGCAATTTACCCTACACTTTTTGTCCAAATTTTCTCTCCACGGTTTCAATTCTTGGTGTTTAGTGGGCGACGGGTAAAAAGCAAGGTCGTCAGGTCGACCCACTTTGACCCTGACCCGATGAGAAAAACGGGCCGCACGCACCCGTCGGGTCGACCGCTATAAGATATCGGATTGGAGGTCAAATTGTGTCTTTTTTTTCTTTTGTTTGCGAAATGCTCCTATTTTCCGAATTTTCTTTTTGCCTAACTCAGTCTTTGGAATCCTTAGTTGAACATTTTGAATACTGATGTTATATAAGTGTGTGTGAATTTTCACTATATGTTGAATCTAAGTACGCCATGTTACTTTGGTGTAATGTTATATGTTATTACTCATATGTTAGATGGGATTTGATGTAATTTATCAGATTAAGTACAATATAATGACTTTTTCATATTTTCGGGCTGAAACGGGCTAAAACGGGTGACCCATTAACCCTTGACCCACTAGCTCGACCTGGTCCGGGTCAACCCGCGGATTGACAACCTTCGTAAAAAGTAAAAACACCTCTTATTGAGAGCTTCCCACACACTTTCTTCTCCACTCAAGTTGTTTGTACCTCATTGTTCTGCGGCAATCGACCTTACCCTAAAATAAGCGGTTGTACCTCTCCTTCCCAACCTTACCTTAAAATCAGCAATGAGAGACTGCTTTTCCCACAAAACTAGAAATTGCATAGAAAGGGGGTAAGGCAGGGTGATTCATTGTGACAGAATTGAGACAGCTGTCGTCGATGAAGCTTGCTTCGTCGAAACAGTAAAAGGCCCTGCAGTTTAGCTCTTCTACTTCGTTGAAAATGTTAGATCCTCTTCACGATGCTCTAGTCGACCTAACGGCGGACTTAAAATCTTTTCTATATACAAAATCAACCAATTCAATTTGAGTTCAAGCTTCCGTGAACCTCTCTCGACTCGCCGAGGCAACCAGAAAACCCGAATCCC